CCAGGGCCTTAGGCCCACCCCAGCAGGCCCCAGGGCCTTAGGCCCACCCCAGCAGGCCCCAGGGCCTTAGGCCCACCCCAGCAGGCCCCAGGGCCACACTTCCTTGGTCATTGTGCTCCTGGGGTGTGGCACTGGCGCTCTGAGCTAGATTTCAGTTAGTGGAGGAACCAGATCTTGTGAGTCATGAGTAAGCAGGTCTTGGCTGGCCTACGGGGGGGGGGGGGGGGAGCAGTGACGCCCAGGATAGAAGGACTGTCCCCCCACCCCCTCTGACACACAAGCTCATTTCCAGCTGCAGGCACAGGATTTCCCAGCCAGCACTTTGCCGTTTGTGCTGGTCCTGGGTCTACTTGGTCCTTCAGAGCTCGCTCTCAGTGGGAGCTGTGAGGCTGGGGGTAGACAGGCCCTTTAGGAAGGACCTAGGGTCCCTGGGACTGGACAGAGCCAGCGCCAGGTTTTCATCCCAGGGCTGCTGGGATCTGAGGCTGGGCCCTGGTGAGCAGGCGGTCACATGTACATGAGGGTCACGCGTACACAAGGGTCACGTGTACATGAGGCCTTCCCAGGTCACGTGTACACAGGGCCTTCCCAGGTCACGTGTACACAGGGCCTTCCCAGGTCACGTGTACACAGGGGCCTTCCCAGGTCACATGTACACAGGGCCTTCCCAGGTCACGTGTACACAGGGCCTTCCCAGGTCACGTGTACACAGGGGCCTTCCCAGGTCACATGTACACAGGGCCTTCCCAGGTCACGTGTACACAGGGCCTTCCCAGGTCACATGTAGAGGGGGAGCTTCCCAGGTCATGTGTACACCAGGAGGCCTCCCAGGTCACATGTACACAGGGCCTTCCCAGGTCACGTGTACACAGGGCCTTCCCAGGTCACGTGTACACAGGGCCTTCCCAGGTCACATGGACACAGGACCTTCCCAGGTCACGTGTACACAGGGCCTTCCCAGGTCACGTGTACACAGGGCCTTCCCAGGTCACGTGTACACAGGG